AATAATAATAATAATAATAATAATAATAATAATAATAATAATAATAATAATAATAATAATAATAATAATAATAATAATAATAATAATAATAATAATAATAATAATAATAATAATAATAGTAATAATAATAATAATAATAGTAATAATAATAACAATAATAATAAACATTGTTATTATTATTGTTGTTATTATTATCGTCATCGTAACTATTGTTCCATAATTTGCTGCAAATCTTTTGTATTCCAGGCTTTTTGATTTTTTAGTTTTCTGTTTTTTTTAGATCTCTATTCATCGCTTTAAAATTTTATTAATATATTTTAGAAATTTAAATATTTGGAATATCCAAAAACAAACCATTTATTAAACAGTGCCTGCCAAGATTAACTTTTGAAAAACTTCCTGACCCAATTTGTTCACAAATTTTGTAAAAACCTATTCGTTCACCAAGTGTTATTTCCTAAACAAATAATTTAGTAAAACATTTCTGATATAAATTATTAATGTAATAAATTATAAAAGAAAATTTTTTTAATTAATTTAGATTAAAATTTGGGCTTCACAACATATGCAAATTGATAGAGTAACTAACAATTGATTTTGCTAACAAAAAAAATTGTTTAAAATTTTCTTTGATCTAAACCTTTTGTATTGTTGAATCGTTGGTAAGATCATTAAGCATTGATTTGTATGTTTGTTTCATTGTTAAATTGCTTGGTACGATTGGCGACGACAGTTGAATATTTGAACTTTGACATGCTGTCAACAAATTCATTTCTGTTTTCATTTTATTTACGCGATTCTAAATGTTAATTGTAATTATTGTTATCATAGTTCTTATAAAGCAGTAATTATATGGAAAAAATAGGTAAGTAATAATATTTACATAAATAAATAAATTTAAATTTTGATTTAAAATACTTCATAACATGAAACAATAATAGTTCGTGTAATATAAATTATCGTTATTATCAATAATATGATATTATAATAATGATATTTTGATAATGAATTTCTTTTTCATTTTAAACTAATATTTTCATAATTTCACAAGTACTTCAAAATAATGGAATAGTTTTTTTTTTTAAATATAACTATTTCATATTTTAAGTTTTTGTTTTATTTTTTATTTA